AGAATTACAGAATGAAGCTGTTTCCCTAGGCAAAATCACATCACTCGTGTACCAAAGGTTGTCTGTCTGGATGTGGTGTTTTGTCAGAAGTGACAAGGTGTTTCCCTCACTCTGTCGACTGCTTAGGACTCAGCTCCTTCTATAGATACTGTTACAAAATACTGGAAAACACTGTTAGACAAAACCAGCTCTAGCATCCAGCTGACGCTGACTACAGAAACTCTTGCAAAACTCAAAAGCCATCACCGTGTGTGTGCGCAGTTCTACTAAGGAGGACATGAGCCTCCTAAGCAGGAGGAAGGGACCAGCTTGGAGAAGAATGTGTGCACGCAGCTGTTTTCTTATTTTAGACCTCAGGAGGCCAACCACATGTCCAATTACTGTGAACACAATCCCCTGCTTGTTTTTGTTTACAGAAACAATGTTATTTTAGAGAGCTTGCAGATACTTCTGTTCACTCACTAGCTATTTTTCCTTTGATTTTTACTCTGTTGTAATAATACCTGCTTTTCGTCTTGATTGATTTCTTAGAATTCTGACATACACTATCCAGATTGTTCTGTCTGCCTTAGGAGTATTTTTAGTGTGTGTTTTTAGCCAGGACATTGGAGATCTTATTCAAAGACATTGCAACAAAAATGTTAGGAATAGGAGCTAGATGTGCAGAGCCCGCTTTTGTGGTATAGCTGGGCTTGGTTGAAATTCAGATATGTCACCATGGTAATACAGTTGAACTGAGGATAATTTCTCCAGTGGAAAGATAACGGGCACTGTCTTGGTAAAGGTTGGGTTTTATTTTCTTTTTATGTTTTTTGCCAAGATTTCTTCTAAAAGATCTACTTATAACTAATAGTTTCAACATTGTAACAAATAGCCATAAAGCACCAGCAACTCTAGAAACTTAAAGAAGGCTTAAAGAACATCATTGTCTATAATCCCCATGGCAGAGACACTCTAAACACATTAGTGAGATCATGCAGAAAAATCTCCATGGAGACCATGAACAACACCCAAAGTTCAAATATACAAATGGACCATCTGTATATCAATATATATATATATATATATATATATATATATATATATATATATTATGCACATATACATATATGAGTTACATCCAGCGTGACACATGTCATGTAAGGTTTTTTTTTCATTTTTCTTTATTAAGAAATTTTCTACTCACTCTACATACCACCCACAGATCTCACCTCCTCCCTCCTCCCACCCCCCAGCCCACTCTCCCAAGCCACCCCACATTCCTACATCTCCCAAATCAAGATCTCCCATAGGGAGTCAGCAAAGCCCAGAACACTGAGCCTAGGCAGGTCATGGGTTAGTTTTTAACCACTGGGAGCTAATGAAAACTCATCTGTGATCAATAAACATTTATATTCATAAATAATAATACTATTAACTTATTCCATGCCAGGAAGACCATTTTAATACATTTATTGAGTCAAGAAAAGACATGGAAAGAGATCCCCATCTACTTTAAAATAAGTTGCAGAATTTCTGTTGTCTTCCATTGTTAACATATTATTGTGACCTTAATATGCACCAGCCAAATGAACAGTTCAGTGGTTGAACAAGAATGGTATCCAAATGTTGGAACATAAAGGGAAATAATAAAATAATAAAACAAGCCCTGTCCAGAGACTTCTAGGTTTTCTACCAAATGTCATGGATTTGAAATTGGTGCTGACACATTTTTTTCTTAGAAATAAAATTCTGTCAGGTCCCAAACTCATGTAGATTTCCAACAGATGGGCACCAAGGGGCTGGCTTTGTCAAAGATGTTAACTCTAACTCTGGCCATTTGCATCTCCATGAGTTTTGGGTCTCTGCTAAACTATCTATGGTCTTGATACGCTTACATGACTGTTCGTATGTCTTAATCTCTCTGGATGGCTGCTAAAAGTATTCTAATTTCTTAGAGAAATCTTGCCCTGTCCTTTTGGAGATGCGAGGTTACAGATATGAATTCTGGTGACATTATCAAAGCAGTTGGAGTGTCTCTAAACTCAGCTCTTACTTTTTAAAAACATGTTAATCAGAATATCCATTTCAAAATCTCTGGGCTTCAAACTTCCGTGGAAACAATATTGTTCATTTTCACTTTCATGAATACTCCTTTCTGTCATATTTCATGGTTGTTTTTTTAAATCTAACTCAGCTATTCTAACTCATTTTTCTTCTTTCCTTAATCTAGAGTACACAGTAGAAGGTGTGTTTTGTCAGTACATTTGTTGTATGACATTTCCTAGGGAGATAAACATATATATTCACCCCAGAGAGGACACTTTCAACAGACCAAAGGAACAGTTCCATATGTGTCTTAGTAAAGCAGCATGTTCAATGAGGTTATTTACCGGAATATAGGTGAGGGATTGCTTTTAGGACCATGAATTACTCAGAAGCGGATGCATCACCAAAAAGCTCACCCCGACATGGCTGACAGCTCAAGCTACATCCCTGGAGCAACCTGCAGGATGCTCCTCCCTTTGCAAATGCTCCTCTAACCCTGTGGAGAAGCTTTGTGAATCTCGTAGCTTTCAGGAGCTTCCTGTGCCTTCAAGTTTCCCCAACATCCTGATAGATTTCAATTAACTGGAGACTTCAAATCCTCCCTCCTCTTTCCAGCAGGGAATGTTTCAGTTCAGAGGAAATAGCTACACGTGTTCTTTTATAAAATTTTTCTTTATCTTCTTTAGACAATTTTTTTTCAGCATTGGATTTTTTCTGTCTGATTTTTCTTGGATTTATTTATTTTATTTTTGAAATTCTAACAAGAAATTGTCAAGCTTTTGTAGTTGTTCTTACATCTTTGCATTATTTTTATACAGGCTATATTTTAGGTCCACACCTCTTCCAACTGGGCATCAAAGTTATAATCATCCTCTTTTGAAGGACGTAGGGCCAGGACCACCAGTACCGACCCGACCTTGTTGGAAAGCTTATTCCATTTACCGATTGCATGTGCGTTTGCTTCTTTATAAATTAAAATTTGGCTATCTTCCATCTGTACTTCCTTTATAAGAAGTTAAAGTAGGAAGAAACATTCATGTTTTTTCTATCAATAGTTGTACGATTCTTTATCGGTTTGGCGGCCATAATGTTTTCACTAGAAACATATTGGAGAGCAGTGTTGCCACTGACATCCGTGACATTTGGATCTGCACCGTGTTCTAAAAAAATGTATACATAGTCTCCTTGCTGATGTCTGGGCTCCACATGAGCCATGTTATTGTAAACTGTCACGTCAATGCCACCCATCCCTACTATGAAAGGTACCTGTCCTGGGTGTCTCTAAGGCACGGTGCGGAAGAGTCCTTTCTTCATCCTGACCATTTCACTTCAAGTGCGACCACCAGCCTCCACTTGCAGAGGACCACCAGCTGGCGGACAGGACTTCTCAAACACTGCTTCATTGTGCTGAGATATCCTCCAGAGGTCCACTTCTCAGTTTCCTTTTTCTTTGCTTCCTTCATATACAAGGAAGCACCCTGAGCATGGTCTTTTTTTTTTTTTTTTTTTTTTTTGTCCTTGGCTGTGTCCTGATAGCAGATCACCACTTTTGATGGATGAAGCTAAACATCCTCAGTGTGGCCTTCCCCTCTGAACAAGATGACTCAGGTACTTCCAAAGCACACTCAGTGCTGTGTGCTGATAGTGGCCTGAGGCTCTAGACAGGGTACCTAAAACCCCAGGACCCCTGCAGAAAACAAAGGCCAGTTGAGGGAGGAGGCGCTGGAGTGGGGACCTGGCACACTCAGGCAGGGGACAGTGCACCGGGGGCTCTGGAAAGACTTCCATCAAAAATTTCAGAAGTTAGTGTCTTGCTAACCTTTGGAAATAAATGGCTATTGGAACAGATGGTCTGCATCGGAAATTCAATCTTTTCCAGAACTGTAAGTACTCTTAGATACCATGGGCTGATCCAGTTGTGAAAGACAGGGCAGAAGTGGAGAAGAGAAAGGAGGATGGGGAAGGAAGGAGGTGGGAGAGAGAGGGGCAGAGAAGGAAAAGAGAAGGGGGGAGCTAATGAAAGGAGCGGGGAGGAGGGGGAGAGAGAAGTCAAGAAAAAGAGGGGAGAAAGAGGAACTGAGGGAGGGAGAGGGAAGGGAGGAGCAAGGAGTAAAAGGAATAAAAGGAGGGAGAAAGAAGAAGAGGGAGAGGAGGTGGGAGGACAAGCAGGAAGGGCGGGAGGGAAATAGGAGGGAGGGGGAAGGGGAGGAGATTGGAAAGTTAAGTAGCTCTTTCTTCAGATCTACAGAGGTTACTGGTCCCAGGGTGGGAGTTCATGAGTGTGGCCCAAACCTTTAAGGGCGCTGTCGCTATCCATGGTGTCTGGCCTTAGTCGTTATTGAAGGCAAAATTTCAGTGCCGAAGGACACATCAGAGAAAAAGGAGACAGATGAAGGGGGTGAAGGGAAAGGGGACTTTCATGTCCTCCGCTGTGTGTCAACTACAATGGATGCTCTTTGCACCTGTGTTAGCCAAACATGCAGAAGCTTTGACTCAAAGCCCCAGTACAGGGAAATACCCCAGACCACACCTCAGTGGAAGAAGGGTCATTTTCTCTAGTTGAGGTGTGAAAGGAAGAAGAAGGGAAATCTACTGAGGAGCCATATCTGCAGAGTTAGCCTGCAAGCCAGCTAGACAAGCCCACCAATATTTGCCAAGCATTGTGCTGTAGATAGGGTACAGGAGTGCTGTAGTAGAACAGACACCCATTTCCCGTAGAGATGCAAGGGGCTCCACTCACTGCAGCACATGAGGCCACCTTGCTCTTACTCTGCCCCCCAGGAACTAACTCGGGCTCTTCTTTTCAGTTTAGGAACAAGATTCACCCAAGAAGATATCCCAACTCTGTTGTGAGATATTTGGTTACACCGTGTGAAGATGTGTCACTGTGGCTGGTTTAATAAAAAGCTAACCGACCAATAGCTAGGCAGGAGGTCTAGCAGGGACTTCTGGACAGAGAGAGCTCTGGGAAGAAGAAAAGCAGACTCTCCAGTCAAATGCGGAGGAAGCAGGATGGGCACAATGGAGATGAGGTAACAGAGCATGTGCAAGAATGTAGATTTAAAAATAGGACTTAATTTAAGTTGTAAGAGATGGTTAGAAACAAGCCTAAGCTAAGGCCAAGCTTTCATAATAAATCTCTGCGTCATTTTTTATAAGCTGGTGGCCCAAAGGAAAGTTTACTCAACTCTGGGTTTATATTAGGAAACCCATCTGTTCACAGATAAACCGTATTCACCAAATATTGAGAGAATACATTAAGCTTCAACTTTTACTAACATTTGGGAATTTTACATTATGCACCACAATCCCACTCATTTTCCAGTCCCTCCCTATCTGCCCGTCACCCTTTGTGGTGCTCCCCCACAAAGAAAAATTTAAAAATATTAATTAAAAACAAAAACCCCACTTTGATCCTCCATTTTTCTCACTTCTCTAATTCCTCTTCATTCGTCTCAGTAGCCCTGGGAGCTGCACTGTGTCACACAGTTCACCCTTTTGTTCACTCGGCTTTACTTGCAAATGTTCGTGGCAATGAGTTGTTGGTCTGGTTCAAAGCCTCTGGCTTCTGGAACACCATCAATAGTGGACCCTCACCGAGACTCCTCTCCAATAACATGCTGTTGCCCCGAGTCCTGTAGATGCTACAGCTTTGGTTCTGACAGTCCCTCTGCAAGTTCTGGCAGGTCATAGAAGGATGTGGGTCTGCGTGGTAGCTGATTTGGTCCGTCCAGGCCACCGGGACCACCCCCCTTAGGTGAGAGGCAGAGCTATCTCTTCTATGCCCCTGCCGTTGGGGCCAGCTCTCCTAGGCCGATAGTGAGGGGCGGGGCCAGCTCTCCTGAGTATAGGGCCAGCTCTCCTATGAGGGGCAGGACTAGTTCTACTGCAGTGGCCAGTGAGGGGCAGGGCCAGCTCTCCTAGGGCCAGCAAAGGATGGTGCCAGCTCAGTACAGCCCTCAGATTTCAACTTGCATGATTCCTATAGCCCTCTGTGGTACCATGGGCCACAGAGATTAACACCCAGCTGAAACAGGACCACGGACCCAGACAATGCCCTTGGCAGCACCTTGGGCCCGGATGTCACCATGGCCCCAGGTGGCGGTGCAGGCCACTCAGTTTGGCATGGCTATGGCAGCAGCACAGCCTTTGGATACCAACACGGCCATAGGTGGCAGCCCAGACCTTGGGTGCAAGTATGGTCTTTGGTGGCAGCATAGGCCACAGACATCAACACGGACCCCAGCTTTGGTAGGACCACAGACTCAGGCATGGTTCTCAGCAGCAGCCCAGGCCCAGATGTCAGCATGGTCCTAGGTGGCGGTGCAGGTCACTCAGATCTATATGGCCCCTGCTGCATCATGACCCTCAGAGAGCCACATGGTCTCAGGTGGCTGATCAGGCCCTGGGCCTCTGCACAGCCCTTGGTGGTAACTGAAGCCATAGGCTTCAATTTTTTAAATGAATATATTTATTTATCTATCTAGTTAGTTAGTTAGTTATTAGTTTAAGTATATGGGTATTTGATCTACACTTATTTGTAGTTGGTTTTTTTTAAACTCTTTACTCTTTGCTCTTTGGTGGCCCACCACCCAACTTCCAAATAAATACATGGAGTCAAACATCCACACAACAGCCATGAATTCACTAGGGACACTTCACTCTTTCTCCTCTTTGTCTGTCTCTTAGCATGTGACCAGTCGCTGAAACCACCAAGAGTACTCAGCAAGTGTGAGAGGTCAGAAACTCGTCACAGGATCCACACCCAACTCACAGCCCATGTTGAGGTGTGCAAGGAAGGTATTTGATGGGCTGCCTGGAGTCACCATCTATTAGACGCCCAAGAGTCAAGGTAAGGAATATGTCTGCTGGAAGACATGTAGGGAGTTTCCAAGATGAGCCAGATTAACAGTAAAACCAATAAAAAAGATGCCTTAGCATCATCAGTAGATGATGATGCTCCACCCAATCATTTCCTTCCCTTTCTTTCCCTTCCCTTCCCTTCCCTTCCCTTTCTCTTCCTTCTTCCTTCCCTCCCTTTTCTGCTTTAGTTTCTTGCTTTCTAGACAACTGCTCTTAGTATGAGCACATGAAGCTACCCAGGAACATAAAATTACCCTTGCTTAAGCACTTCACAGAGGTTAGAAGCAGAGACCCTAAAGACAAAAAAAAAAAAAAAAAGAAAGAAAGAAGAAAGAAAGAAATCTGATCTTGTGGTGCTCACCTCATGCTAGGACAGTTAGAAAAATGACATTTGCTTGACCCTAGTGAAGTGCAAGCCTTCAGTTGACTGAGGGGCCACCACTGGTGCTGCTCTAGACCACCAAGTCACGTGACTACCATGCTGCGATGGAACTGAGTCAACAGGTCTTTTTTGTTCTTGTTGTTGACCTTTCATTTGAATTCCCTCCTTTAGTCTGGTGAAAGGGATCTCCACCCAGCCTAGAAACTAAGCGGATTTGGAGTTATGAACGGACTCTACCAGCGGTCAACATGAAACATATAGGTGCGTCCATGGTGGGAAGGGCTGGGTGGCAGCAGTGTACACACCATTTGCTGTTATATAAGAAGAGCAAGGAGTTTCTTTCTGGGGCTGGTGGCCAAATCAGTCCTGTTGGGTCTCATTGCAGGGGAGTCACCAGGGTGCTTCTTAGCAGCAGCAGCACCACCACCACCACTGCCACCACCGTCACTACCATTACCATCACCATTACCACCACTGAAGGACTCTCTAACAGGCATGGCTAACATGGCACTGACAGGTCTTGCCTCCTCCTCTTCCCTCTGCCTTGCTAAACTGTTACGTTACATTCATAAAGCTAGCCCCAAAGGTCTGCTCCCTTATTTGGCCTCTTCCTTATGCCTGACTAAAACTCCTAGGTCCAACTATCAAAACACCAAGGTCCAGCAATCAAAATTCATTATTTGGCTACATTGGTTAATCTGTCCAATCAGGACTTACCAACTCACCTTATCACAGACTTCTGCTTTTCTCCTTAAAAAGCACTCCTGCAGAAATACCTGCTGTCTGATACAGAGACAATACTACCTCCAATACTTCTCCCAACTCCAGGGTAATAAACCTCCTTTGTGCTGAGAATTTGGTGTCTAGGTATGTTCTGTGGCGATTTTGAGCCGCATGCCTGCCCCCCAAACATCATCACCATCAGCAGCAGCAGCACCAGCGGCTGCTGCTGCTACACTGTCTATGCTGGACAGGCACAACTGTGGCTTCTGGTGGGTCCAACCCTTTGACATCACTTGAATCAATCTTCTTGTCTGGATACTTTCCTAGTTTAGCTCTCCAGCTTTCCTAGGATTCAATAGATATCCAGTACCTCTGTTCAAAGTGTTCCTTTCTCTATGGAACGTGTTTGTCTGTTATTCCCTTATCACAAGGGAAGAACTCACCAAGGACACAGTAATGTTAAGATGTCTGAAAGACAAACTGGTCAATGATCTGTATTACATGTGAACATCCCATTAAACCATGAGCTGCCACTTCTGGAGGTCAAGGGGTTTCAGTCACTTGGAGGCAGGCCAAGGACACAGCCCAGTTGAATCTCATGATGACAGGCCCACAGTTCTGCACTCCAAGAACATACACAGCTACAGCCAGATGTGAAATAACCACTGTGGTTAACACGGGACTAGAGACGAGAAAGAAAATAGCATGTTCGTGACCACTCATGTTTCTCCCAGAGACAATCATACAAAATACCCTTGGAAATCACACACGTTGTCTTTCTTCTGCATGAGGGGTGATGACTACACCCTTGAGGGCAGATTAGAAGTCCGTGTTTGCCACAGCAGAGTGAGAAAGACCATCCTCCTCTGGGCCTTCCGAATCCTAGGAACATTTGCCAAAGGTGGTGGCAGAAGCCATAGGGACCTGATCTTCTTCCAACTCAGTAATTGCATCCTGCCTGCTCTGCTGGGCCACCTCCTCTTCCTGCAGAAGGGCAGTACCTCCTCCTGTGCAAACCCGATGGGAGGCCCCATGGCTTATGCACACCTGCAGGGTTGCTCCTCACCCCAGTCTGTAATGACAGTGACTCTGCCCTCTGCTCTTTGGGGGGGCTTCACTGTTGATACTCAAATACCATGCCAGTTTGTGGTTTTGCTCTCTTTGTTGCTCAAGGCTCTTGTTTGTTTGTTTGTTTGTTTGTTTGTTTGTTTGTTTGTTTGTTTTAATGTAGCAGTTTTAGGTTTATGGAAAAACTGGGCGGGGGTGGGGGGAACATCCGTCTCCATGCCTCCACACATACAAAGCCTCTCCTGGCATCTCTACCAGAGTGGTACATCTGCTATAACTGATTATTCTGCAGCGACATACCAGTTACCCTAAGGTCATCGTTTGTACCAGGTCTCACTCCCGGTGTGCAGTCTACAGTCACGGATAATGACGTGTATCCACCATCATGGTACCACACAGAGTGTTTTCCCACCCCCAAATTCCTTGTCACTCCTCCCTCTCCGCTAGTCTTGTACTGACTTTCACTTGGTAAAAAGCATGCGCATCTCTTGCATGTCTTGCTGTGTCTTCATAGGTTGTGTTTTGTTGGTTTGGCCCCTTTAAATGCCGTTCCATCTGTAAGGCATTTTTTAATGTCTATCAGACTCCTGTTCATTCCTCAGAGTGCAATTCCAGCCGTGTCTCCTGAAAGAAGGGCCCACCAGCACCCTCTCCTTAAAGTTAGCATCTTCTTCCTCTGCCGTCTTCTGTGCATGTTCCCCATCAGTGGGGCTGCTCAGTCTGCCTTGCTGGCTCTCTGTCTGTCTGTCTAGCTCATTGTTACACAATGCACACCTCCATCTGTGTGTCATTGATGCCCTGAAACCTGAACTTATTTTTATGCTTGTTGTACTGGCCAGCTTTATGTCAGCTTGACACGAGCTAAAGCCATTTTGGAAGAGGGAACCTCAATTGAGAAAATATTTATGGGCAGGCGCATGGTGCATTTGTTTGAATGATGACTGATGGAGGTGGGCCCCGTTGGCTGTGGGCAGTGCCACTCCTGGGCTTGTGGCCCTTGAGTGCTACAAGAAAGCAGGCTGAGCAAACCATGAGGAGCAAGCCAGTAAGCAATGTTTCTCCACAGATTCTGTTTCGGTCCCTGCCTCCAGGTTCCTGCTTGAGTTCCTGCCCTGACTTCTCTCCATGATGGACTGCCGTCTGCATATGAAATAAACCCCTTCTTCCACAAGTTATTTTCATCATGGTGTTTTATCACAGTAATAAGAAACCCTAAGACACTATTACCCCTCTATTTTAGTTCCTGGAGATGGTGTGGGTATAAAATAATCTATGAGAAAAATTAATCTATGCATCTGATAAGAAATAAACTGTCAAGACTTTCTGCTGTGGAATTCTAGATAAATATATTGTGTAGAGAGATACAGGCATACGTAATACCTGTTTATCTAAACAATACCAGCATAAGAGCTGCACCAAGGGGAGGTGGCCCTGGCTGTTTACAGGCAAACAGCCAGATGTGCAAATTCCCAGCTAAGACACAAGGGCTTCCTAGAAGTATTTTCTCCAGCATCACTTGGATTGTGCCACCCTAAGTCTGTTGGGGTGTTTGTGGTTTTCACAACTGTAGGGACACTCTGCCACAAATTATGACTCTTCTACATTTCATAGAAGTTCTGAGCACACCACTGGGAAAATCGCTCACGGTTATCTGAGCCAAGAACTTCACTCTTTCATTTGTAAATACATGCAAACTTCTGTATTCAATGGGGAATATGTTTTTACCAGAATCTAAGGTGAATTTTGTGTTTGTGCACGTGTGGTCAGCTGTGTACAGGTACACGTGTGTACGCAGGTGCACTTGCCCATGCGTGTGGAGACCAGAGGACAACCCCCGGTGTTGTTCTTCAGACACATTTTTGTAGGGGGGGTGAGGGTCCCTCACTGTCACGGAGCTCACTGAGCAGGACAGGCTTCGGTGGACAATGAATCCCAAGGAAACTCCTGACACTGTTTCCCCCAATTTGGATTAAAGCGCATGCCACCACACCCAGATTTCCACTGAACTCGAGTCCCTGTGCTCATGAAACAAATGCTTTAGCACCTGGGCCATCTCCCGAGCCCTGACCAAGGTAAATTTTGATAAGATTGGATTTTAATCCATTGGATCTGGCTGAGAGTTGTTCTCTGTTTTGGAAAAACAAGTCACTAGAAAAAAAAAAGAAATCCCTGGTGGCCTCTAAGTCACCAATACAACCCACCCGAGGTAGTCCACCTTGAACGCTAACGCATTTGGAGGGTCACCAGTTCAGCCACTTTCTCAGTATCTCATGACCAAAGCACTTATTATTGAAACATAATTCTTCTTCTAAGCTGTTTTCATTTTGCCTTCGCATTATAACTAGGAAATAATCATGGATTTCAAAAAAAAAAAAAATGATGTGTCTAGTAAGTTGTACTGCCTACAGTGTTCATTTCAACGTAATAAAAATGTTTTAGTATTTTCTAAAAAGGGGGTATTATATGTTTCCAAACTACCAAGTGAAATCAAATTATATGTTTTAAGAAAGTCGACAAGCCTGCAGAATTACACTTCTGTCACCTGACGAGATGAAAGGCTCACACATAAACATTGTTTGTAATAAGCATCGTGAGGTGGGGGCAGCTCCCCAGATGAACCATCTTCTCACAAAACAACTTATACTTCCAAGGTTAAGATCACTCTTCCTCTACTGGCATTTATTTGCATCTGATGTCATTTTCTTTATCAAGATATGTGAGGTTAGAGCTAGTTCTTTTTCCAATTGTCTACCCAACTGTGGACCAAGAGTGCTCTGAGTGACCAGCTTCGGAGCAGCGCCTATAGACAAAATGGCAACCAGGGAGGACACGTGACATCACACAGCTCTCGAGCTGATGGGGATACCAGGTGTCAATCACACAACTCCAAGAGGGCAACCCGAATGCTGTTGTCTGCGTAGGCAAGGTGCAATGGGAATCTGGGTCTACTGAACTGAGGAACTGGCACACTGACATCGGGAGGAGGGTGGGGATGAGTGGAGCATTAATGTCACACAAGTCTAGGGACAGAGAATAGGAACTCCACTGCAGACACTAAGGCTCTCTGGAAAGTGGCTCTCTTTGCCCAAAAACAATCGTCAAAGCTCTTACTCTGGAAAAGAGGTTTCACTGTGAAAAGCGTTTTAAAATAATTATTGATAGGGGCTTGAGAGATGGCTCAGCAGTTAAGACAACTAGGACCCACCTTGCTTCCCAGCTCCAATCTGACAGATCACAGTTATCTGTAACTCCAGTTCCAAGGGGTTTGGTGCCCTCTTTTGGCCCCCATGGGCACCAGGCACACAGGTGGCACACAAATACGCATGCAAACAAAGCACCCATACGCTTTAAATAATTTTACATTAAAAAAAACTTTTATCAGTATGAACTTTACACAAAATCTAGCTGGTGTGGTTTTCTGCTATCTAATAAACAAATCTAATGTGAATTCAAGACATTTCTAGAAATATAAAAATCTAAAGAGGTGTGGTTTCTACAGGATAGAGAAATGTGGATGGGTGGGGGGAATAGTGAGGCAGGATGATAGTAAACAAGAGGAAACTTCAGAGATCAGCAGATGCAAGGAGCCCACGGTGGGGAGACTGGACACTCTCACTGTCTTACTTGGGCTTTGTACCAGTCACCTTTCTGCTGCCATGATAAAATGCTCTAACCAAGGCAACTTCAGGAAGAAAGAGTCTCTTTCAGCTTATAGTTCCAGAGCCCCATCATGGACAGGAGGCATAAGAGCAACCAGTAGGCATGGCAGTGGGCAGAGGAAGCTGGGAGCTCCAATTCTCCACCAAAAGCACAAAGCCCAGTGAGCCAACTGGAAGTGACATGGAGGCTTTTAAGGCCCACCCCCTAGCGGGCCATACTTCCTCCAGCAAAGCTCTCCTTTCTAACCTTCCCCAAACAGGGTCGCCAACTGAGGACCAAGTATTCAAATTCCTGAGACAACGATTTATATTTCTCATTCAAACCACCAACGGCTTCATTTAACCAGAGGAGCATGCTCAAAAAAGCCTCTAAATTTAGGAGAGATGAGTACTGAGTTAATGACCCATAAAAGATTGCTATGGGCCTAACTTCACCCCCTTTCCATCTTTTGCCCTCTTAGAACCAGGCCACAAGATATAACACACCTCCAGGCTCCTCTGATCTCCCCCATAATCAACTGTCACCTATAAAACTTCCTGTGTGTCTCTACACAATTCATTTTAAAGAGGCATAACAACCAGGGAACCCTGGCCCCTGCCTTGTAGACACAGACATGTACCTGTGACAATGGGGACAGGAAAGGAGCCCTGCACCTCAGAATCCAGACTGGGTCACCAGCTAAGTTGTGAATGTTGCCTACACAGAGACAATAGCTCTTTTATTGAGACATGTTCCAGATAAGAATATTTAAACAGCAATATCTCGTGCATAGACTATATAGGCTTTCTCCTTTCCAAGCTCTAAACCAATTTTATTGGAACATCTCACACATGCACACACATATATACACACACATACACATACACACACCCTCCATTTAAAGTAAAAGCCATGCATTTACCCTGCCTTGTACAACCTTCATTACCAATGGTTTTGTCAGATTTCAATCCTATCCAAGACCTTTCTGGAGCCCCCCTATTATTCCATGTATTTAAAAAAGAAAGAGAAGTGGGGGGGACCCTTTCAGGTCTAACGAGAGGAAACAAAAAGTGTATGTATAATACCGTTGAGACACTTAAGTATGACTCTCTTGAGAAGCCCACAGCCACACTTGAGTGTGTACTGTCTTTTCCACGAGTGTCTGTTGACTCCTGTGCTTAAAGCTATGCCAAGCTAATCTCCTTTTTGGCTTTATGTTGGATCCTTCTAGAATTCTTTTCTGTAGAAAAGTCAAGAGCCCAGCTTCACTGGGGTTTAGGTCTCTGAAAAGAATCTCTACCCCACTGCCGCTGCTGTGATCATTAATTTTTTTTTTTTAAAGAAAGAAGACAGGCAGGAAGGAACGTGAGCCCGTTTTCTAGGCAGGAGACAATCCCATCAATTCTCAAAACCATCTGATGGTGGCTCGCGGAAGCAGGTGTCCCATATTTACACAGCCATCTGGACATGTCTTCTTCCCCTCGTCCTTGAAAAAAACGTTAACAGGCCTCCAAAGGGTGAGTCGGGGCGAGACCTACCCCTATCTAAGGTCAGAATAGAAGGGCTAGGAGGAACTGAGGCTTTTTTTAAAGAGCAGCAGAGCAACAGAGGCAAGAAGTAAGTAGCGGTGTGAGGATGGATGCCAAGAAAGCAGTGGTAACCCTGTAAGCACACCATATGGCTTTTATATGCCATGCACTTCATCCTAAATGTTGATATTTGCTTTCTTGTTCGCTCTTAGTGCCAACTCTGTTATAGCACTTAGTAAAATTCTTTTTTTTTTTTAAAGAAAACATACCAAAGCTTCTTGCACCCTATTTTTAAAATCAAACAGAAGTTCCTTTTCCTTTTTTAAAGTGGGTGATGCATATCCCTGTTTCTAATTGTCTGCAGTGATCTACAAAGCAGCGTCGGCACTAGAAAAAGGAAAGGCCTATGGGATGCAAGCACAAAATACTCATTTGCACCTGGCCAGCAGAGCCAGGAGTACATCGGCGGACAGCCCAACTCCAGGGGAAGTAACTCAATATCAGTCCTTCTAACCACTGCCCAGGCTCATGCAGAGGAACGGTTGTTACTGCTCACAGCAAAATTCCTTCCCGCCAAGGGAAGGGAAAAGAAGTAAATGGAACATCTCTAAGTAGAGAAATGGTGGAAATTAGAAGAGAGAAATGGGAGGTGCATCATTTGACCTCAGCAAAATCCTTCTTCCAGGTTCCTTGCTGAGACGGAAAGGATCCGCTATCTTTGTGGAAGAGACTTAGCTCCTCCTCTGGTGTCTTTTGATACAATTTTTATAGTTTATAAAAATGCAAAGCGCCCTGTATGTAATGCACAAAAAGCGCAAACAAGCTGCGAGGCAATTGGCAGGTGGTTAAAATAAATTTCTACGTATTTTCCCTCCAGAATCTCTTTCACTAGTAGGATTTCTGCACAAACAGTTGGAGGCCACGAAGGACCGGTGAGTTTGGAGAATGCCACCATCCCTTTCCAGGCATAATGGCAGGGACATGCTCTTTGAGGCACCAGAGGAGCCAACTAACCAGCCATCTGTATCGTTCATCCTGTATTTGACTTTCCAAAGAGCACCTTGAGTCAGGCCTCCCGCAGCCTCTCTTCCCAGGGCAGTGAATGACAACTGAAAGTTTGTTCCCGGCCGAAGTCTCGCTGCCTGCCTGTCCCTTCTGCGGCTCCCTCTACTTCTCTACACCAACACACGCTCGTTGGAAGGGTAAGACAGAGGAGAGCCACAGCAAGTCTCTCTCCTCCTGTCATCCTGTCAGGAACATTACATGCCATCCACAGCCTGGGTGTGGAACCTGGCTCACTTCTCTTTGTTCTGCGGTCAGTGCAGTCTGCATTCATTTGAACACCTCTGTTCACACCTTGAACGCACACCGCTCACACCTCCGCACACACTGTGCTCAGCACCAAGCAGGTACTGCAGGAGGCAAGGCAAAGCTGCTACTGTACGAAGCCCTAAGGGCCCTAGGCTTTGAGGATCGCAATCCACTAGCAAGGGAAGAGAGATGCAATGCAATGCTCAACCTAAAAGCAAGAGTTCACAAAACTTGTTTTTCCCCTTCAACTAACAGAGGCCTCTTCCAGCCTCTGTGGGCACTGAATGCATATGGTGCACAAACACGCATGCAGGCAAACACTCATACATATAAAAATAAAAAAATAATTTAAATGCCTCTAATCCCAGCACTTGGGAGGGCAGAGGCAGGCAGATCTCTTCTGTGAGTTCAAGGCCAGCCTAGTCTACAGAGCAAGTTCCGGAACAGCAGGGCTACACAGTAAAGCCCAAAGGAAAAAAAGAAAGAAAAGAAAGAAAAATATATAGTGGTTGTCAGGAACTGGAGGGGAAGAAAAGGAGGGAAATTATTGCCTAATGAGTACAGCTTTAGCCTGGGAAAGATTAAGTTTTGGAGATGGATAATGATAATCATTGTGCAACAATGTAAATATAATTACTACCATGAAACTGGACACTTGAGAATGGTTGAGGTGGTATAGTTCATGTTGTGTTACATTATTACAATAAAAATAATAAAATGGATATCCAACTAATACCTGAAGTATTTTCAAGATTTATTTTTATTTTTAATTATGTGTCTGCATGTGGGTATGTGCACATGAACACAGGGCCTGTGGAGGCTTGAAGAGGGTGTTAGATCCCCTGGAGCTGCAGTTAATAGGTGGAGTTAATAGTCACTCAACATAGGGGCTGGGAACTGATTCAGTCAGGCCCTCTTGCAAGGGCAGTCAGTATGTGCTCTTAACCTCTGAGCCACATCT